CCAAGATGCCGCACACGGAGCTGGATGTGGACCTGGACGCGGAGCCTGATCCGGGCATGGATGAGCTGTCGAATACATCGAACAGCTCCTCGTTACAGCACGATGGCTCCTCATCGTCGCCGCCGCCGCGTGATTACAAATTTAAGGATAAGTTCAAGCGCACGCTCACCCTGGATACGCAGGTGGCGGGCGCTGGAGCTGCTGCTGCAGCCGCCGCCGCTGCCGCTGCGGAGGCAGCAGCAACCAGCAGTGCCGCCAACACTGGCAGCGAGGAGACACAGCGCGGCGCCGTCAAGCTGGTCATCTCCAAGAAGAAGGGCAGCATCTTCAAGAGCCGGGCGCTGGTGCCCTCCGATCAGGCCGAGCAGGCGTCGGTGGCCAAGCGACATCTGTACAAGCACAGCTGGGATGCGGCACTGGAGGCCAACGGCGGCGGCACTGGCAGCGATGCCAGCAATGCCTCCGCCTCGACGACAGCGGGCGGCGGCGCCAAGGCGGACAGCCTGCTTGCCAGCAAAGTGGCCACCATCGATGCCATCTACGGGGACTTTGGTGACAGCAACTCCAACAACAATACCTGCAGCAGTTCCGCGCTGCGCGGCGAAAGTCCCGCCCTGGGCAAACTGACGCGCCAGTCCAAGCCGCAGCACAGTGGACAATCCTCGGCGGCGGCGTCAAGCGATGCCTTCGACCTTGAACTGGAACCGAGTCCAGATGAAGCTGGTTCCGGCGGCGGCGGCACGGCTGGAGCTGCAGCTGGCGCTAGTGCTGGTGCTGGTGAGCGGACGGGTCTGCGCGTGGATCGCAAAACCAAGGAATACTATACGGTGGTGCGGAATGTGAAGACGGCGCATCAAATACAGGAGATTGGCGAGTACCAGGAGATGTATGACGATGTCGAGTACATACTGGATGCACTGCAGCCGCACAATCCACCGCCGACACGCTGCCTATCCGCCTTGCAGCTGGCCACCAAATGTATGACGCCCGCCTTTCGTATGCATGTGCGCGCCCATGGCGTTGTCACCAAGTTCTTTAAGGTGAGTGGACAGGGACGGAGACGGAGACGGAAACGGGGACGGGGTGTGCTTCATCTTCTTAAATATATAATCGAATTATCTGCTATCCAATTGCGTAGGCGCTATCGGATGCCAACAAGGATCTGAGCCTGGGCCTGTGCACCTCGGCCATTATGTATATACTCTCGCAGGAGGGCCTCAACATGGATCTCGATCGGGATTCGCTCGAGCTGATGATCAATTTGCTGGAAGCCGAAGGCGTGGGCGTCGCTGCGCACACAGACCGTCCCAATTATGAGAGGAACAAGCAAAAGGTGCGCGAACTATGCGAGGAGATCAAGGCCCAGGGCAAGGGCACCCATCTGAATGTCGAGTCGATAACGGTGGGCACTTTAGCAATGGAAACGCTGCTCTCGTTAACCTCAAAGCGTGCGGGCGAATGGTTCAAAGAGGATCTACGCAAACTTGGCGGCCTGGAGCATATTATCAAGACAATATCTGATTTCTGTCAGCCGGTAATTGCCACAGCTGCCACGGACATGGCCCTGGTCGCCTGGGAGCCAGCTCTGCTCGATAATATGCAAACGGTGGCGCGCTGTTTGCGCGTCCTCGAGAATGTTACCCAGCACAATGAGGCGAATCAGCGGTATATGCTCACCTATGCCAAGGGACGGGCCGTGGATACGCTGTGCTTCCTTTACCGCCTGTGTGATCGCCAGCTGCTGCTGCATCCCTCGACAGCCGAACAGAATAGCAGCAAAGAGCATCCGGGCGTGGCGATGCGCGAACTCCTCATACCCGTCATGAAGGTGCTCATCAATCTGACGCACACGTTCAACGAGGCTCAGCCCTCGCTGGGCGCCGAGCTGCTCGGCAAGCGCAGCGATGTCATCGAGACATCATTCCATCTGCTGTTGCTTGCGTCCAACTACATTCCGGATCGCTGTGTCTTCGAGCTGAGCATTCTGGTGAGTTGATCGAATTTACTAATGGACATGGCACGTTTCCAATGTGTTATATTGATGATATTTAACGAACATGTTTTGTGCTGACTCCGCCAGGTGCTGACCCTGCTCATCAATCTGTGCATGCACACGCCGCCCAATCGTGCCACACTGATGCAGGCCCATGCGCCGGCCGAATATGTGGCGGACAATCCAACGCCCGGTGATCAGGCGGTCAGTGCGGTTCAGGCGCTGCTCGAGTACTTCTACAAGTGCGAGGAGCTGGCCAGGTGTGTTACTTTCACAGCTTCAATTCTCAGTTCACCAAAAATTAAAACTCTCATTTCATATTTGTGTGTGCAGACTTGTGGAGAAGAACACGGACGCCTTCCTCGAGAGCAACGAGAAGAGCAAAAAGAAGCAGGAGGAGGTCGAGGAGACAGTCAACAATCGTAAGTTATAACAGATCAGGGATTGGGCACGTCCGAAAGTGGTTACCCACTTGGCTAATTGACATTCGTTAATGCTGGCAACAAATATAAATAGCGCGCAAATCGATTCCAAAGAAACGCCAGCCATACGCAACGAAATTCGAGTAACTTTCGCACATTCCATGACGGCGGCCGGGAAAAGGGGGTGATTGTCTGGCAATGAGAGGCAAGCTGAAAAGTTTATTTACAAAGAACTCGCCAATAGACTTTGAATATTTACATTAGAAAAAATGCAATGCAATGGACATATTGATTTTAAATCGATTAAAAGGCATCAGGAGAAGCGACATTTGATATAACTAATGTGAATTTGCATTTAAAACCGGCTGCAAGGCAAATCTTTGCTGGACAAGCTATAAACTGTTGAATATAATTATAAATATAGTATAATATTAATATATATTTACGTATATGGTATTTGAACAATTGCAGTTGTGCAACGCGCCAGCCATCACATGGAGCACACGCTGAAAGGCAGCTATGCGGCGATATTAATTGGTAACCTGATAACCGACAACGACCAGTATGAGACAATCGTGCGGCGGCAGCTGCGTGGCAATAGCTTTAAGGAGATCGTTGGTGTGCTGGAGAAATATCACACCTTTATGAACCTGACTTCCAGTGTGCGTAAACAATTGCTTTATATAAATTGTTTGTTCTATTGAATATCGTATGGTAACATATATTTGTTTGTTGCAACAGTTGGAGGCAGCATTTGTGGCGCACATGAAGTCCACCAAGAAGATAATTGACAACTTCAAGAAGCGTGATTATATCTATGAGCATGCGGATGAGGATCATACGATGCCGATGCCCCTCAATCTAGAGACGACGACGCATCATCATCATCATCATCATCATCATCTTCATCATCATCATCATCATGAGCCAAATGATGCAGCGGCGCACACGCTAGATGCGAATGCTTCCAGCAGCAACACAAGCATTGCAACCAGCAGCAGCAACAACAACGCTAGCAACAGCAGCAGCAGCAACACAACCACCACCACCAACACCGCCAGCAGCAGCAGTGGCAGTGGCAGTGGCAGTGTCAGTGGCAGCAGCATGCCACGTGTCTTTAAGACCTACAGCAGTCATAGATAATCAATGCCGGACGAGCAGTAAGCCAGATCTGTGGAAGACAGACGTCGCCGTTGCCGCCGCCGCCGCCAGTCACTGAAAGCCTGCCACCAAAATAATAATTATTTATGTTGTTTGTAATTGCTGACAATTGCAGCCTATATACATAATTATTTATTTCCTATTACGTATATGTGAACACACACACACACACACACCCAACACACTTTGATATATATATATATGTGTATATTTTATAATATTTCGCTGTGCTCTGCTTGGCTCTGCCTTGGGTTTTCAGCTTAGCTTCGCAATATTTAATTGTATTGTATTTAAAACAAAAAAAGTGATAGCAAATGAGCATGGTCAGCGTTTTAACTACAAACACACCCACACACACATCCGCATACACACAACAACCACAACCACACCCACACAGACACACACTCAAAGATCCAAATTAAATACTGATAATGTGTACGTTATATAGTCATAAGCAATATTAGCAACTATTATTATATATTTACACACAACACACACACACACACACGCGCACACACACAGATAATCGATTGTACATATTGTTTATTCAACGATTTTATTCAATGCTATCTAGATTTTATTTAATGTTTCTATGCTCTATTACTATTTTAATTATTATTACAAATTCTTTTTTTTTTTTTTTTAACTATATATATATATATATGTATTTATAAGCACACACACACATACTTGTACATGTATAAAGTAGAAGATGTAATGTTTTGCAAACAAAAACAAACCAGAAAAAATATAGTTATTTTAAGCAGGAAAGAACTCTATCCATAATTAAAAATGTATGTATGTGTATGTTTAAATGAAAAATGTCATATTTAGGCTTACAACTGAGATATAAACCAGAGAGAGATATAAAAAAAAAAAAGAAAACTCAATTTCGGGAACAAAATATATGTATTTATTTTTTTGTTTTAAAATTGTCGATAATGTGAAAAAAAAAACAACAACTATATATAAGGAAACCCTACACACTACATATAATTATTGTTCTTGCAGAAAACAAAAAAAAAAAAAAAAAAAACAAAACAATATATAAAATAAAATTCAAAAGAAATGAATTTATGTTGTATTTCCATAAGACACTATTTGGCAAGCTAAAAAATGTTCAAATTACATCTTTTGCAGAAAAAAAAAAAAAATAGAATGTTATGTTAATGTTTTAACAGCCAACAATATTTGCTCTCGGCGCCAAAAAACAAAAAAAAATATTACAAAATTTGATCGTAAATCACAAGCAAACATGAAAACAATTGAGAAACAAATAAAAATGTTGCCTAATAAAATAGTTTTCCATGGAATTGAAATAAATAAAATGCCGCTAAATTGTTCCCAGCCGTCAGCTCTGTTAAGTGTGGAGCAGCGCTGTTAGCTGTGGAGCCGTAACGTGTACACGTGAATGACAAAATGAACAGTAGTCGTAATTTATGGCAATTGTACAAACAAGACGGAAAAATGATGCGAGATTAAAAAGCAACAAAAATAAATATATATATGTATATATATATTCTTTTTTTTTGCTTTTTTTTTATAACGCATTGCTGTAAAGACTAAATTAAGTGAGACGGCGGCAACGTCGGCAGTCGGGTGCAAAATTTTCGTCCAAACTGTAAATTGAAAAAAAAAAAAAATAACCAAAATCAAAAGAACAACAAATAAACAAAACGCAGCGCAGCGCAGGTGTGCGTGTGTGTGTGTGTGTGTGTGTGTGTGTGTGTGTGTGTGGGCGCCAGGCGTAGCCAACAACACGCAGAGCAATAGGGATTATAAGAAGCAGTTGGACCGGGGTGAAATCCGCAGGCAGCAGCTGCAATTGGGACATGTCCAAGGTGCAGCCAATGGCGTCGGCGTCGGCGCGCCAATTGGGCGGCGAGAGTGTGACCATAGCACATGCAGAGGCAAGCGGAGATGCGGCCAGCGTGGATCTGAACGCATTGGACTACACAAGCAGCAGCTCGATCATTGAGTTCCTGGCCAAGGAGCAGGACTGCAACATCGAGCCAGCCGATCCGGATAGCATATTCCAGGAAGTCAATCGGCTCGCGGACAGCACAGATCTGCGCTCCGTGGATGAGCTGCTGTTGGAAGCGGAGCGTCTCATTCAGCAACAGCTGCGCTTGGGTGACGGCGACGGCGGCGGCGACGGCGACGGCGACATCGATGCCAATGGCCAGCTGAAGACGCCCTCAACCACGTCACCGCAGTCGCTGTCATCGTCACAGAACAGCATTAAGCTGAACACGCGCTTCACGCGTCGCATCGAGCATGTTACCACCGTCACCACGAGCACCACCAGGACCACCAGTCCAAGCCATGCCAAAGCCAATTACAACAACAACAACAACAACAAATTCAAATCTGTGGCCAACTCCTCGACGTCAACGCCAGCCGAGCCGCTGGGCAACTTTGTGGCATTTGTTGAGAACCTGCCCTCAGAATCGGTCATCTCCGAGGAGTCCACACCCAAGGATCTGCACAATCATACGCACAACGGCGACGCCTTCGCTCAGCTGCAGCTGGAACAGCTCGACAACACCGATGACGACGAGGATACGGTAAGTCTATCGATTCGCAAGCTTCTCCACAGCATTCTCCAATCAGAGACTTTTGCATTGTGCCCATGTTCAGTTGGTCTGATTGGATTTACTTTAGCAACCTTTGCTGTTGTCCCTTATCGTTAGTTCCGTTCACGGTTCAGCGTTAGATTCGGTTCGTGGAACTGGTTCTCTATACTTACTTTACTTTACTTTACTCTTTGATTTGAACCTTCTTTGGGGTTATTTTTTTCTAAATTAACTAGAAATCGCTGGAGGTCAACTTTATATACATTAAAATTATTAATGTATTAATTAAAAGACTTTAGTTGTTTGGCTGTGATAAGAACTGGAACTGAACGTAAACTGGTTCGGCTGCGAACCATTTTGCAGCCCTGGTTTTTGTTCCGAACCCAGCGAAATAAAAAGAACATGTCTGAAATATGATTTATAGATACAAGTATATATATATATATATTTATTTGTTTATTATTCATTTGTTTTATTTTTTTGTTTTTTTTTTGTTGTTATTTGTTTTTACATATGTACAATGTACATGCATACATAAATAGGCATTCACACATAGAAGCGCGAAGCTGCGCTCACACACTTACACCTAGTTAGATACAGTTACGGGATCAGCCGATGGATTGGGCAACTGTCTCGGCAACGGTCCAGCCCTCGAGGGCGGTGTCCTTGATGAATTTGGGCGGCAGGACAAAGCCGTAGGTGCCGCGATCGCGCAACTCAATGGTGTACACGTATTTAACGCCGAGTGCGGCACGGCTCCAATCGTCGGAGCCGCCGCCGGCAATGCCGAGCACCTCGTGGGTGACGGCCGCCGTATAGCTGCTGCCCGTCTTTTGGGCAATGCGATCGACGGCGGTGCTGGCGACGCGCTGCAGCACGCTCGAATCCTTGACCTTGACGGCCTTGTAGGCCCACGGATAGACGACCATCTGGCCGTAGCTGTGATAGGTTAGATACGCCTCCAGATTGTATTTGCGCTTGGCCAGAAAATCGGAGACGGCCTTCGTTTCCAGCTCGGAGGCGGCTGCGCTGCCGCGATAGACATCGCTGCAGGGATCCTTTGAGGAACCGAATCCGGTCCAGCCAATATCGAAATTGCGATTCAGATCGACGCCAAAGCAATTGGTTCGTCGCGATGCCGAGCGATTCTTACGCCACAGTCGATTCGTCGTGCGGCTGTACTCGTAGCCATCCGGATTCATTACGGGCATTATGTACCAGGTGAGGCCGCGTATATGCGCCGGCTGATTCTCCCAGTTGTGCATTAGCTGGTACAGTATAAACGTAACTGTTGCCGGGCTGATCCACTCACGTGCATGGATGCCGCCGTCGATCCAAACTTTTTTGAATTCGCGCGGATTTTCCGAGATGCTGCAAGGGTGACAACAAAAATACACAGCATAGCTTAAGGCGGTGCTTGGAACTTTGTGGGCTGCTTAACAGTTGCCAAAATGTAGCATACTAAGCAGCGCCCAGAATGTTAGCTTAACATTTAATACAAGCTTATCTAGCTGTAGGCTCTGTTAAGTTAACAGCTGCAAGTGAATTGCACTTGCAGCTAACAGAATGCGGCATATTCTTGGGCGGTGCCAGAAAAACAGCTTGCAGAAGAACTTGGCTATGGAATATGTGACAAACTGAAGCACCGACATCTTCGAAATCGGACCAACTATATCTTGAATGTTTTGCTAGGAAGGATATTCAATCTTCGGTACTCCGAAGACATTCGCATTTTCGCTTAACATACCGCAAGACTTTCAAATCGCGTTTCTCGGCCGTCTGTCCTATGGTATAGAGGCGACATATATTCGGATACTTGGCGCGTATTTCGCGCATAAACGCATAGATGGTCTCCAGATCGTGATAGTCCTTCCAGTGCATGCCGCTGCCGCTGCGTGAGGCCTTCTCTGTTGGGGGAGGGAGACATTCAATTCGATTTGTTTAAAGATTCGAATTCGATTCTCTACTCACTTGAGCGTGCGCCTGGCTGGGCTTGTGTGGCCTGGATGCCTTCCAACAGCTCCTGATCGATCAGGGACTGGACATTGTCCGACAGCACCTCGGCATCGAGACGGTGGGCTTGCAGAAAACTGCGCGCCGCCTTCACGTGCTCCTTGCCAATGGAGACGTCCAGAAACTTGGAGTTCTCCTTCCAAATGTTACCACCAAACTTCTCCTCCAGCACCTGGCCAACGGGTATGCTCTGCAGCATGGCATCGCTCATGTTGTGAACGCGCCACAACTGCGTCTCGTCAAAGCGCTCCGGTATCCCGTTTAGATACTCATTACCCTGAAAAGCCAGCGAGCTGTTTGTCGCACTCGCCATGGCCAGGAGCATCCCGAGCAGCATCAGCTGACCTAGTCGTTGACTCATCTCTCCTTCCATCAGTTGTCAGTTGTCAGTTGTCAGCTATCTGCGATATCTGTGTGGAATGATAACTTATCAGCTTCCGACGAGCTGCAGCCAGCGTCTAAGTAATTAACAAACCCAATTAACCCAACACCTTGTCCCGCCCCGCCACGCCCCCGTTACGCTTAGTTGAGTTTCTGGGTCGCAGACTCTATTCAATTGAATACAAATGGCACTCGCCAGTTAGTTTGTTAATCGAGTCACCTTTTTTCCCTTAATCCATATTCGAAAAAAAATAGCTCATGAACACAGTTTAGAGCGCACACACGAGTTGTTAAAAGTTCTATATTTACGATATGCTAAACTAATGAGGGTTTATTTTATGATCTTCTACAAATTTCCCAATTTTAATGAATGTTAAATGATAAAAGGAAACTAAACACGTTCATAAAACTAGACTTGTTTATATGGAGCGTAATTGTAATTACACGAAATTGACATTCACGTATATCGTATATTGGCATGGAATTGTATTGTAGAACTGTGCATTTACGATATTGGGAAACTAATGTGATTGGTTTTGTTTTGTGATTTTGTGAAAGTATCCAATGTATAAAATTGACAGTTGTTTGAACATATCTAGAGTAGGCCATTTTGAGATCCAGATAAATGGGATATTAACCAAATTTACGTTTACGATATGGGAAATCGGAATGGAACTTTGAAAACTTTTCAACTATAATTATTGATTTTCACAATTAAATTAATGCTCACCTCTCAAATGCAAAATCGTTTAACTCAATGCTATAAATCTTAATCTATATAATAATATATGATCATAACGGATAAATCTTATAACAGAATAGTTGTAAATTCGCGCAAATATAATTTGTACGTCAGCGAAAACTAATTGCAAACCGCCAGTGTTGTAAATCGTAAAAATGTTAATTTATGATATGAAAAACGAACGGAAATGAAGCTCTTTTTTGTATACATTGCGATGACCTAATTGTTTTTTTTATTTTTTATAGATTTTATATAATAATATGTGCAATTATTGAAAATTTTAAAGCTTGAGCCAAATGACGGATTGATTGATAACTTTTGGAAAATCACACTTTAATAGTGGAAGAAACGGGTGAAAATCGTTTGTGTGAAACTTGTTTAGTTTTCTAAACTTCTTGGCAAGACCTTCACAATGTCCCCAATTCTCGGAAGTATTATTTTCAAAGCCTCAGCTCTGATATGTAGCTCATGTATATAGAGACAACATGGGAAAACTGATTGACAGTAGGTTTCCACAGATCACAGGTTATCTCTTTGCAATTTTCCCACTTTCAACAACAATTCCGAGAGGCTCTGTTATGCTGCTAAGTAACCTTATCGATAGAGGAAATATTCTAATCCCCAATCTGACAAATTGTCATTGGCGCGGTTCACAGTTCGAATCTTTTAGGAATCTGGGTTTTTATACATTTAATTTTTTAGTTATTTAAGTTTGTTTAGTTTTACCTACCCTTGCTTAACCAGAGTCTTCCTAAATCAAAGTACTCGATCCGCTTTTAAACAAAACCAGTTCAAATTATTCCCATTAATTTTTTATGGTAAATCGAGTCTTAAATCTGGACGTTTGTCCGAATAGCTTTTCAAAAACCAAACCTTCAAACCAAAACCTAGGTTCGAGAAGTTGAATATCGGGTCTTTCGATAGAAACCCAAAGGCTTTACGGTTTGAACCAGCGACTTCCCTTCTCGTTTGCAGCCCTGTATGAAATGACAGGACAGAGTCTAACAAAATGTTGCATTTACATTTTTAAATATATGAAATGATGGTAAATAGACAATTGGTTAAGCTCCAGCAATAGAAATATAGTATTTAGTTGATTTTGGAGAAATTTCCGCCCTGCCCAACGGCTTCCTGTGGCCGTGTGTGTCTTGGCCTTGGCCAAGTTCAATGTTATCGGCAATTGGACATGCTGTGATTTCTATAGCTTGGCTGCAATTGGTTTTATTTTCATTTATTTTTTGTGTCAGTCCATCAACTGTCGACGATCAATTCGAGACGCGCATTTGGGCTTTATGCCAAGCGCGGGAAGTGGGTGGGCTTGGATTGCGGGCTATTATGCGATACGACGATACGACGATTCGAAACGCATTCGGAATGAATCCATTTGTATGCGAAAGACACTTGCGTAATCTCGAGGCAACTGAATATTATTTTTGGCCTCTTTTTTTTTTCGGTTTATATATGCTTTTGAGATTGAATTCTAATTGCGAGCGCATTCCATCAGAATCCAAATCCGAAACGGAATCCAAATCCGAAACGGAATCCAAATCGGAATCGGAATCTTAGTTTCAGTTGCGAAACTGTTGTCGCTTTTGGTTAGCACGCAATTGTGCTAATTTTCTCCCGACGACCTGTTTGGATTATCGTCTATTTGATTTATTTAGTTTTTGTTTTTTTTTTTTTGTATTTTAGTGCAGAAAGCGGCCCAGAGAACTGGTTCTAAGCAAACATTTAGGTTGTTGTGCGCAGCGATGGAATCTTGTGAATAGCCCGACCTTCGTTTCGATCACGTGTCCCAGATGTTATCGCCAGTTCGTGCTGTGCTCCAAAACTGGAGCGACTGCACATTTCCCTTGACGAGTCATCAATAAGTAAGAGTGCCCGACTGCGAAATACCCTGTGCACAGAATTGTCAAGCCGTAATACGCAATAGTCGTTTACGCTCTTACAATCCTTGATATTTATCGATTTATCGATAGGCGGAAAGAAGTTTTCCTGCAAATTTGTTAACCCTTATTCTTTTCACACCAAGAAATGATGACCCAATCGGGTATCGCTCATCTTCTGCCCGTTACATACATTTGCACAACAGCATTATACCCATTTTCGTTAGTCCATTTTCACAGCATACAGGGTATAGAAACTTGTCGCAGCCCGTTGCAGTTAAAAGTTTAAGCGCAATGTTAATGTTAATGTTAATGTTAATTTACATGCAAATGTTAAACATGGATGACCTCTCTCATTCAGAAACGCATCCGCATTAACGCTCTTGCATTCTCGCTCGCACGCACACACGCACAATTCAATTCAATTCATTTATTTAGCTTACGTTTTACGTTTCGCTGTGTTTGTTGTTGTTGCTGCTGCTGCGCTTCTTGGATGCTGCAGTTGCCGGTCAGTTGCTGCTGCTGTGTGTGTGTGTGTGTGTGTGTTTGACTGTAACACTTGGCAGCTCACTGACGAATCCAGACTAAATGCTGCCTTTGTGTCGCTTCAATTTTTATATAAAACCCAGCCAGGCAACTGTGCCGAGGGCCGTTTCCCGATAAAAAAAAATGCAAAAATAAACCAAAATAAAACCAAACGGAAAAAAATAATACACGCACACACACTAAATCAGAAAAAGAGACCGAAGAAAAAAATTAATAAAAAAAAAAAAACAAACGTTAAACAGAATTACAACAGAAAGTGAAAAAAAAGCAATTTTGGGGAAAAAAATTGCGCTGCTGCCTGACGACCGATCTTGGAGCGATCGGCGCGTACTGAATGAATTGACAACAACAGTAGTCGCAGCAGCACTAGCAGTAACAGCAGCAGCAGCAGCAGCAGCGGCGGCGGCGCAGCAGTCAGCAGGCAGCAGCAGCGACGCGCTTACAGGCAGCGCGAGAGAGTCACGCATCAAAAAAGAAAATAAAAAAAAAAAAAAACATGAACCAACAACAACAATAAATTTGTGAAGCCTGTGCATGTGTGCGCATGTGTGCGTGTGTGCTGCTGCCAGAGTAATTTTGTTGTTGTTGCTGCGCCTACACTCTTCCCATCTCACCGCTATGCAATGCAAGTCAGCGACATTGACTCTCTTTTGCGTCGTGCTGTAATGTGATGCGTCGCTGCGCCCGCTGCTGTTGCTGCTGCTGCTTATGAATTTTGCTACTGTTGTTGCATTTCGTGTGCTTTATCAAAAGTCAATCTATTACTCACACACACAGACACACACAGCCACATGCATAGGCATAGTGAGTCGTGCAGTTGGCGTCCGTTTTGCACTTTGCACTTGTACAGGCAACAGTTTGACAGTCACATCGCAACTGTTAATGGTTTTTTTTTTATTTAGCTTTTAATGTGTATCTCCAGCTTTGCATTGAAAGCCACTCGCTCGCAGCGCACAGCGTAACAGCACGGAATAGTCCATTCGAAATTAACACCTCTATTTCGGGCACGAACGCCAGCTCTGGCTTGATTTGAGCACAGTGCATTTCATAAGTATTCATACATGTATGCATGCATATCCAATACTAATTTTATATGCATATGTGTCTGTATGCACTTCCACTATTTATCATTCTTGTCATTCTTGCTTGGTTCATTTACTCGCCTCAACAACTTGTGCAATTCATCATTTCAGTTTGAATATTGACTACCTTTTTAAGTGAGAAAAGTAAAAAAAATAAAGTAAACAAACTGCCTTCAAAGATATAATTTGTACACTCTGTGCACACATTGTAAAGCGATAACATGCCACCTTTAGATATATATATATATACCATATATGTACACTCACCAGTTTAAAGCTAGAGCTGCTGATGTCTGAAATACCTTACAATAATATTCCTTCATAAACAGCACAGATACAAACAGAAAGTTTAATGACTTTAAAGAACAGTCATCATTATTGGAATGAATTTACCAAATGAGTCATTACAGGATGATACTTTTTATACTGCAAATAACATAACACAACAATGTTAATGTATAACATAATGTCAAGCCATAAACAATCTGTTGCTAAGCCGAACTTTTACGAACCGACAAATCTAGGGAAAACCCATATTAAGGCTAGCTAGAATTTTGTTAAGAAAATCGCATACACACATAAAAACCTATATAGACAGCTATAATTATTGAAATATTAAGCATAATCTTTTGATCATTGGTTTTACCTGCTGATCTCAGAGCTGGGAAATGCATGCATGACTTATCTGCGGGAGAGTGCAAGAGGCAGCAGCGATACATGCAAGCTTATTGAGATGCATGCATGCGTATATATTTGAGAGGCATTGTGCTCTGTTGTACATTTGATTCAATTGCTGCACACGCATGTCAAACTGTGCACATGTATGTACATATGTATGCGCGTGCGTGTGTGCGTGCGTGCGTGATTATGTGTTTTTCAATATGTCATTTTGTATACACATACATACATATGTATGCATATGACTTAGTGTGCGTGTGTGTGTGTGTGTGCGTATGACGGCGCAATTTTTGACCCACTTGCCATGTTTTTACTTTCTTTCGCCTTTAATAATGATCAACATGGCTCCCCCACCAATTAAGTTGGTTTTTTCTCTTCTTTGTAGTTTATAATTTGTGCTTCTTCTGCTGCTGCTAGCTGGCTTTTTGTATTTTGCGTATTTGTTATTGTTGTTGTGCTCAATTTTTTTCCTCTTCTGTATACGATTTTCACTTTTGTGTAAGCTACCCTTTTGGGAACTGCAGCAGCAGCTTTTTGTTGTTCATTTAATTTCGAACAATCGCCAGTCGAGAGCTTCATTCAAAACTCGCTTCATGCTTGACCAAGAGAACGCACAGACACACACACACACACACACATGCATACGGGCAGACATGTGCACACACACACACACACACACACACAGACGCACACTTGAACAATAATCTGTACGAATTGTTTGCTTTTTTGCCTTATTGTCTGCGAATCTAGGGTATTTTGTTGGCCATGCATTTCTGTTTGCCTCTGGCCGTTCTTCAGCAGGTTTTTGTTTTGTTTTTTGTTTTGTTTTCCAGCGCTTAAATCACTTTCTTTGCGCGCTTTGAGCTTTGGCAGGCCTTTCGCCTGATCCGCATAATTTCTATATATGCATGTTAAGTAAATAAATAAATGAATAACATCTTGGTGCCCGTCGCGCCATTTGTCGTTACATTTTTTTTCCCCCATTTTTTCTTTACTGGTTTTCAAAACGCGATTGAAAGTGAAAGTTCCACCCAGTTCAACTAGCTCTGTCCGGCCAACGCTCGCGCTCGCGTTCGCGTTCGACTTCGCGCTCGCTCTAGCATCAGCTCTTCTGCTCTGCTTGCTCTCTCGCGCTCTTTTACAGTTTTTTTTCTTCACTGCTTTCTATTTTGGGTTTATGTTTAACATTTTTTTTTTTTTGTCAGCATTCTTACATTTTTTGGTCGTAATACAATCGCGTTTAGTTGGACCTCAGAAGTCTTCGAAGTTTTCCATTTGCTGTGCACACGAAACGCTTGTGCACTTGCTGTATATTTATTTATTTATCAAGATTTAAGTGTACTTGCTTTTTTGGCTATACTCTGTTTACTTGGCTGTTGAGTTTCGGTTTAAGTGCATCGCCTAAAAGCATGCCATAGTTTTTGGCCTCCGAGCAAGCAGTTCAAACGACTCGTGTTTTTGTTGAGATTGTAGATAATTAAATTAAACGAAATTTTAATTATTATGCAAGACTATGCAAATAGTCAGTAAAGCTGAGGAACTCTTGGATTAGTTCATAAGAAACCACAAGCGCTGAAAAGCAGATTTTGAAAACAACAAAGACGAAATAATGTCAGATATCAAATAAAATTTATTGTCATATTAAAAATTATTTGTTAGCATCAAGTTTTCATAAACAAGTTTCTAGGTTTAAAGAAGCAGCTCTCTTTAATTAGGAGTCGGGTTGTAAACGCGGATAATGTTTAGTCAGATATAAAATATTATGTGGCCTTTATTGAAGAAAATAGAAACAAGTGCTCGTACAATATTCGAATGAAAAATTAAGTGATATATAAATAAATAAGTTAAATAAATAAGTGAAAAATATAAAAAATAATCCATAATCAAAGTAAAAAAAAAAATTAGTCGCTAAAAATAGTTTTCGTGTTGTCAGTTCAGCTGTTGAGCTATGGTCTTCAGAAATTCGTAGGCCTCCTCCCCGGACTCGAGTATGTAGTGCGGCGGCATCAGGTAGCCATAGCGACCCTGATCTTTAAGGAACACATTGTACACATATTGCGGCTCGATGTGCTGTTGGACCCAGTCGGCCGCATTGCCCGATCGCGCCAGCTTCTGGCGATAGCTGCTGCCCATGCTGTACTCGGCATGGTTGAGCCGGCGAAAGTTGAGGATCGCCTGGCGGGCCGTGTGGCGCAGCTCTCGCTGATTGCTGGTCACATAGTCAGCATCGCCCCAGGGATAGGTGATCGCCTGGCCGTAGCCACCGAAGGACACATACGCGCCCAAATAGTCGCGCATGCCGAGCAAAAAGTTACGTATGGCACGCGTCTCCGGCTCGGAGAAGCTTTTCGCGCCGTGGTACAGGTTCTTGCACGGATTCGATGTGGAGCCCGCCTGGCCCCAGCCATAGTCAAAGTTGCGATCCAAGTTGACGCCATAGCAGCCGCTGGCGCTGTCGTAATTGCGATTCTTGGTCCACAGACGGTCGGTGAGTCGAGAGTACTGATAGCCATCGGGATTAGCCAATGGCAGAAAGTACCAATCGATGTGACGCATTGCTTTATCCGCCTCACCCTGCTCCCATAGCCAGCTCAACTTCGAGATGGCATAGGTCAGCGCTGCAGGGCTGAGCCAGTCGCGCGCCTGCATTCCGGCATCCACAAAAACGGCCCAATTATTCGAATTGCCATTCGAGATTCTGCGGATAAAACTTCTATTATTGACAGTATAATTATAAGATTAACAGTGACTGTTAATGTTAGAGTTACAGTAGTTGTTACAGTATCGACTTAACAGTGACTGTTAATGTTAGAGTTACAGTAGTTGTTACAGTATCGATTTAACAGAGACCTCAATTTTGTCCATAAATTGTAGCAGTTGCAGCGACAATAATATTAACAGAGACCTTAACAGTACTCAGTTTAAACTTTGTCATGAGTCACATTAACATGAACATAACATTGAGTGTTTACTGAGCTGAGCCCCTCGACAAAAAACGTAAAAACTTAAACAGTCGAAACTGTGGCAGTTACAGTAATATTAACATGAACAGTACTCTTAACAGTGCTCATAACATTAAGCGTGGAACATTAACAGTACCCATAACAATAAGTCGAAATTGTTACAGAAGAAGTCACAATAACATTACCATAGACCTTAACAGTGCCTATGACATTAACAGACAAAACTGTATTAGTAACAGTGACAATAACATGAACCTTAACATTGAGTGTTTACAGACCTGAGCACCTCCAGTGGGCGCTTGTTGCGTGTGAGACCAATTTGCACGATCTCTGCCAGCTCGGAATGCGTTTCCAATATATTCTGAAGAAACTGCTGCATATCGCCCTGATCGTGGTACCTTCGCCAGGTGAGCAGTGCACCCTCTCGGTTTAGCCAGGGCAGCGAGTAGTTAGCCAGCGTGTTATCGGTATCCGCCTCGTTGACCTCCGTGTAGGTCTCATCGATGGCCGTCTCGATGTCATCGATCATGATATTATAGCTGAAGGCAGTCTGCTCCATGTACTGCTGTGCGGCCGCCACATTCTTGTGCTCGATGATTATATCGATGCCATCCTGATTGATGTTCCACACCTCGCTGCCTGTAAGATAGACATTTTGAGCTGAACGATCGTATAACATGTTTGTGGGTCTTGGCACTACCAAAGCGCCGCAAAAATGCCCGCAGCTTCGGCTGGCCGAGACGCGTCTCATGCAGCTTCCACAGCTGATGGCCGTAGTAGCGACGCACGGATGCATCATTGCGATAGCGTCGATTGATCTGATACGTTGAGCCCGGCGAGAGGAAATCGAAGCGTCTCAGATCGGTTGGCGACAGCCACTGCAGACTCTCAAACGTCGCCTCGTACAGCTCGCTGCTGTTCAGCGTCCACAGCTCGGGCAGGGCCGCGAGAGCCGGCATCGGGACGCTGCGCCACACTAATAACTGGGCACTGCCACGACTGCCGGCAGGGAACATCAACATCAAGAGTAACATCAACATCAACATCATGCTGATTGTGCCACACAAACAGAACTAATTCTCCACACTCTCGCATTTGCTGGCAGAAGGTCGAGATTCGCTGAATTTCTTGCTCTTTGATTAATGTCAATTTTATGCGTGAACAACACCTGTTTCCCGACCCCGACCCGGCGACTAGCTTACTGACTCACTGCCTAATTGACTGACTGACTGACTGACTGACTGACCGAGAGACTTGTGGCTTAGTTTACTCACAGCCAGCGGCTGGGCGTTTGATACTATTTGACATGTTCTATTCTATTCATTCGGTAAAGAGGTCAACAGCCCACCTCTGATCCCCAGTCTGTGTGTGTATTTTGGCTCAGCTACAGTTAAGCGAATTTCTTGCTTTGCATATCTGACTGGTCGTTGGGGTTTTATGTTCGTCGAAACTATTATTACCTTCTGACTTTATAATAAGCTAGGCTTTTGATCAGGAAGAAATATCAACAACAACTCACAGGTAGAATTTTTTTTTTTTTTAAAAGGTTTTTAAGAATATTATTCATTTCTCTAGTAAAAAAAATACAGCTTTGTAGCTTTCACGGTGTGAGCTTTGCATTGATCAACAGTCAATCAATCAGTCAATCAGTCACCAAATCAATCAACTTCTTGGTTTTCAATCAGAAAACAGTCAGTATGTCACTATCTTGTCCAGCTGCTTGATCATCAAACAATCAATCAATCAATCAGTCAGTCATCAAATAGTATAACATATATATTAAGCTATAATAGATGACAGAAGGTATGCCAATGTCTTGTCCAGCTGCTTAATCATCAATCAGTCAGTCAGTCAATCATTCTTCAAACCGTATAACATATTTATTTCTATATAATTGATGCCATAAGGGCATACACTCTTCGGCATTTTGAAGCGCAACTTTCTTGGCTTCCAATCGGCAAACAGGAAGTACGCGAATCTCTTGACTCTCGCCCTAATTAGAATGTCTGTCAAAGCGATTGATGGTTTTTTAAGTGTCTGCAGCTGGTCTGATTGAAATTGAGAACCCTCAGGGGGTCTTTCTCCCGCTGCCAATTTCGCTACTCACCAAAGTCTTCCACGAATTGATTGAACTGGGCATCCGGTGAGCTATCGCCGCGTTTGCGTGTGCCATTGAAGTTGAGCTTCCAGAGTTGAGCGCCCCGATAGCTCACGTAGTTCTCGTCCAGCGCCATGCGCAGCGCCGAGCGGCGTTCAATGCCGCCCGCCAGCTCCATGGGGCGCAGGTAGCGCAGCAGCTGGGCGACGCCGCCGCCAAAGAAGGGCAAACGCACCAGATTGTCGCCGGTGCGCGCAAAGAAATCGTAACGTGATGAGGATGATGATGCTGCTGCCAACAGCTGTGGCATGCATAATGCAACGGCCCACAGTGCGTATGCGTAATGCATTCTATTTTTTTTTTGGCTCTTGCAAGCGTCCAATGTGCCGAATGTTGCCCGTGCGGCCGTTCGATTCGGTTTGATCAAATAACGGCTACTTTTCGCTGTTTTGCGTCTGTTCTCAATTCTCCATCACACTAGCACACACACACACACACACACACACACGCGTAGAATGGGCCACCAATTTGCATAGCTCAACTTTTACTTTGCTCGATATGTTATAAATAACTGTTATACTGTTATACAAGCCAAGCTATTTATACTTAGTTATACGATTCACCGCAAAAGTTGTTGCAATTCTCAGTCCCTCTCTCTCTCTCTCTCTCTCTCTCACTCTCTCTTAATACCCTGTACCTATTCGTAACTGTCCCTTCATATATATTATTTTGATCAGCTTCAAGACCTTAACTTCCACTTGAAGTTTCTCGTATGCGATGCATAGTTCAGGCTTCTTTTCAAAGCTCGAAGCTTACCCAAATCAAATTTAGCATGAAGATTCTTTTCTTTTGGGATATATCTATTTTATGTCTGAATGCCTTCTTAAAAGCTTGCCTACTTTGTTGTCAAAGTTGAGTCGGGCCTTAAATTGTGATCGTGTTGTCGGCGCCCTTTTGGTTAGTCACCTTTCGTGACCTTTGCACATTCCCAGCTAGGGTATTTACGTTTGGGAATGCGGTCTTAAGATGTTTTCAGAGATCGTGCCGATAATTGTGTTCGTCGTGGTATTTATTAACGCTTGACCCGAAATTCATGTTCTGTTTTTTTGGAAATCGATTAATTGCGTTCATTCATTTAAATTCCAATGTGATCTAAGCTGAAATAAATAAATGAGTTGAAACTTTCTCACGGTCGCTAATTTGTTGAATCTTTGGAATTTATAGCTGAGATCCAAGAGATGCCAGAGCAAGAACCCAGCTTGAAATATATATTCTATATAATAGATAGATATTTAGTTTTGAGCGGCATTCCATTTCTTTGCTCGGGAAGATTCTGGTTATGAACAGAAAAAGTAAATGACTCAGTTTTTCAGCTTTTACCTCTGATATACCAAAATTCGATGAGCTCGTAACGCCCAAGTTATATCTAGTTCTCCAGAAATATGGTCTGTTTTTTTTTTTTTCAATAAACATGTCTCAGTCTATTTTCAAATGTTCAATTTGTCTAGTTACACATAAATAAATAAATAAATAGTTTCGTATAAATAACATTAAAAAAAAAAAAAATAATGATTGGACGCAAAAAAAAAAGCCATATTAAACTAAGTCTAAGTTCAGGCAACTAGCGAGTGCGGCGGCGACGGCTGCTGCTGGAGCTGGAGCTGCTTCTGGCATCCGTGGAGCGTCCCAGAGCAACAGCACGGGCGACCGTATCGGCGAAGGTGTAGCCATCCTTGCCGTTGTACTGAATGAACTGGGCGGGCAGGACGAAGCCGTAGCGACCCGTGTCGCCCATCTCGATGGTGTAGGCATACTTGATGCCCGCAATGCCCTTGGCCCAATCGTCCGAGCCGCCGGCGGCCGGATATAGCGTTGTGGCCGAAGATCCTACCGTATACTTAACGCCCGACGATTTGGTGATGATCTGTTTGAGATGAAAAAATCGTAAGAGTTCAAGCGTTGGGATTAGCTGAAGCAGTTGCTTACCGAGCCGGCTTGGCGTGCCACACGATCGAGATCGGCGCGATCCTTGGTTAGATGATAGTCATAGCCCCAGGGATAGAGTATATACTGGCCATAGCTGTGGAACGACAGATACGCCTGGAAGGTGTCGCGCGGGAAGCCGCTTATGAATTTCGATATGTAGAATGTCTCTGGCTCCGAGAAGGCCTTGCTGCCGCGATATGTCTGCGAGCAGGGACTCGCCGAAGTGCCCTTGCCGCCCCACTTGTAGCCAAAGTTACGATTGAGATCGACGCCCGGACATTGGCGTCCATGGGCGCGCATATTCTTGCGCCACAAACGGTCCGTGGTGTGGGAGTATTCATAGCCGTCGGGATTGGCCACCGGATGGATGTACCAGTTAATGTTGCGCATATGCTCGGGCAGATCCTCCCAGCCCTCGACCAGCTGATTGGCTATATAGGTGACCGTTGCGGGACTGATCCATTCGCGTGCATGCATACCGCCATCGATCCAGATGCCGGGATTGCGTGCATTCCCATTGGAGATTCTGCAAGGAATAGCGAACATTTTAGACCTGATCGTCGTAGCAGCAGCTCCTCGTGGTCGGTGAACTTACTTGAGTATCTTGAGCGGACGCTTCTCCACGGAGTGGCCGATGGTTTCGGTGGAGCAAATGTCCGGATACGTTTTGGCCATGTAATCGATAAAGCCGTGAATATCCTCCAGGCGATGATAGGCCTGCCAGGTCAGGCGATGTCCTGCGGAATATAAACAGAATATTGCCAGACTGAGCGAGCGTATGCTAACTAAGTATGGCGGCAACCCCAGCCGGGCAGTTCATTCAACCTGACCTCGCCCCATTCCTTGAACCCCGTAGAGCAAGTGTCAAGTGCCTGAATATAGCTTGGCGACCGGCAGAAATGGCTCAATTCCTGCACCGACTCAAGGAAATTGCGTGTCCTGCCATTTATTGATTAAACAAGTGTCTTGCAAGTTCCTATCCCTGCCCCTGCCCCTGCCCATTCCCATTTCAGTCAAGGCGTCGCGGTGCGTTCTAAGTTCATGGCTAGCTTCAAGTGCAACCAAAAGAGGGCGGCTTATGGGCGTGGCGGGGCATATCAAAACTGTCAGAAGTGTTCCGCCGTCACTCAGTTAACTGTCGCGATGTCTCATTTCCTTTTGCAACCCCTTTTGCCACGTTTTGCTTTACCTTCCACCACCTTCACACTCTGTTCGGTTTTTATACCCCTTCAAAGTTGGTCGACAAAAAGAGGGTATCATTAAGTCCATAGTCGCAGAGAGTTCCATAAAGAAGAAGACTTTAAAGCCCAAAACCTGTTAGCTCTTATTTCGATAATTCTTATAATATACGCTAAAGTTGAAAAATATCGATTTGTGGAGTCTACTTTTTATCGATAGTTAGCCCCCTTCACTCTCGATAATTATCGATGTCTGATTTGTAAATTATATGCAGAACCAGTTACAGCTTTTCTTGCGATAATCCCTTAAGACATTGAAAACGAAAGTTATCGATTCATTTTCGATAAATATCGCTTTCTAACTGCGGCTAAGTTGAGCACACAGTAAAAAATCTGTGCTTTTAGTGTGTGTACAGGGTAGCGTTTGGTCGGTCTGCTTGCTGCCTTCGTCTGTGTCTTGCTTCTTGATTTCGTGTCACTTTTCGCTTTATGACTTTTCACACGCCCCAACCGTTGGCTGCATTAAAAGCTCATTTATGGCGACACCTGAGCTGAAGGCGACCGTAAAAACAAAAAAAAAACACTTGCGACAAAATCCCCTCATTCCCTCAACTGTGCACTCACCCTTGCGATTCTGGAGCTCGGCAATTTTGTCGGCGGGCGGATTCTCGACTTCGATAACCTGCTGCAGATTATCGATCAGCACGATGCGCGACAAGTTGGCGGCGCGGATGTGCCGCTCGGCAGCGGCGAGCACCTGCGGCTTGAGCAGGTAATCGACCTCCTGCTTGACTTCCTTCCACAGTTGTCCGTCTGAGAGAGATAGAGAGTGGGTTATCCAATTGCCTGGCATGTGGCATGTGGCATGTGGCATGTGGCACTTACCATATTTCGACTGCAGCTCATCGGCCAGCTTCTTATCCTTGTCCGTTTGGACCACAATGCGCCAGAGTTGGGCGCCATCGTAGCGTCGCAGTTGGGCACTGAATGCGCTCTCTGTGGCCGTCTCCTGCTCCAGATCCTGTTCGGGCATCTGATCCTGCTGCTGCTGTGGCACAAACGAGGCATTCACATAGTTCAACACGCTGTCCACGACCTGAATGGGTTCCGGTTCCGGCTCTTGGATCAGCATTGGCAACTGCGGCGGCATTGCGACTGGTATGATGGTCGTCAGGATCGATGGCTCGGACTCGGCTTGGGGCTCAGCTTGGGACTCAGCTGCCTTATCAGCTTGAGGCTCGACTTGGGCTTCGGGCTGAGCTTCAGCTTGTGGCTCTGCCGGAGCTGCATCAACTGGTGCAACTGCATCGGGCATTTCGTCAGCTAGAATGGATGGTGGCTGGCTTTCTAGCGGCTCCACAGCTGGCGCCGTTTCCTTGGGCATCTCGGGCTCAGCTTCAGCGGCCGGATTGCTAGCTTCCACCTCGTTTTGAGCGGGCACACTTAGGATTTCCATGGGTTGCGGCTCCTGTTCGGCAGCTGCAATTGGCTTTAGCTCGGCGTCAACTGAAGCTCCTTCCTCTGGTACTGGCTGCTCGGCATTTGGCTGCTCTGCGGCATCATCAGACGCTGGCACGGATTCCTGCTCGAACTGTTCAGTTGCCGATTCCACGATGTGCTCGGGTGCTGCAGTTTGTGCCTCCAGCTCGACTGATGGCTCCTCGGCTGGATGGTCATCCAGTTGGGTTTCGGACACGTTCGGCTCCTCGGGCAGTAGCTCGCTCGTGGCTGCGTTAAGGCCTTCCTCAATGCCCGCTGCCACGCTTTCCAGCACGGTTGATGACTCGGTGGTGTCCACTTCGTTCTCAGCAATTGCTTCTGTTTCGGACTTGATCTCTTCCGGAGCCAGCTGCTCCTGCTCGGGTTGAACCTGTGCCATCTCCGATTCCGACTCTAACTCCGGCTCCGGTTCCGACTCTTGTTGCTCTACGGGCTGACTAGCTTCTGCAGCTTCCTGATCTATGGCAGCTGGCGTGGTATATTCCTCCTCGGTCGCAGCGGGCACCACTTCATCATCCGCTTGTGTCTCCTCATTGGCCGGCACTGCCTCGGTGGTTGCATCTGCCATAGCCTCAGCATTCTCCAGCTGCGCCTCTTGGCTGCTTGACTGTGACTGTGACTGTGACTGTGATTGTGCCTGTTGCTGCACTTGCTCCACTGACTGCTCCACTGGCTGCTCTACGACATGCTCCTCAATCAGCTCCGGCGATGCAATTTCTGCTACCACCGGCTCTGCTGCTGCTGCCGCCTCCAGCTCCAGTTCGGTTTGTGCTGTCTCTGTCTGTGTCTCGGTCTTTAGCTCCGCCACGGTAATATCGCTGGGCAGCTCCACAAGCTGCATAGCCGGCGTATCATCGCTCTCCAGCATCAGCATATCGGCGCTCTCGCCAACGGCGGCATTCTCTGCCTCAGCCTCGGCATCGGCATCGGCATCGGATTCGATGGTATTACGATGCACATGCTCCGTATCGTCCAGCTGGCTGGCCACAGATTCCGGCACCAGCATATACATATCCGTAGCGCCATGAGCCGGCAGCGCGGCCATCTTCATATCATCCACAACAACTGTGCTGTGCTGCACTTCAGCAGCAGCTGGGGGCAGCTCGTTCCTTTCCAGAGCCAAACGATCCAGAGACATGGATGTCGCCTGGTTGACCGCCAACAGCAGCAACAGCAGAGCTCTTGTTGCCATTGTTGTTGTTGTTGTTGTTGTTGTTGTTGCTTGAAATGCTGCTCTTGTTGATCTCCCGTCGTACATCTTAGCGAGATCTAACAGTAAACCGTAATGAGACATGTCCCATTGGTCGAGTGGCGCTTTTATACCAACGCTGGGAAAGTATTGCCATTTCATTTTCGATATTTCTCTCGGCGGCGCAGTCAGCAGCGACGTCTGTGTATGTGTGTGTGTGTGTGTGTGTGTGTGTGTGGCAATCGTGTTATGTATGTAAATTGCGGTGCTGCCGTCGCTCACTGCTTGGATAGGCGTCCAGCTTGCTGTTAACGCCAGCTGCGACGCGGGCAGCGACTGCGACGCAAGCAGCGACGCGTCTCTTCCTTGTGAGCCGGCGTTGCCACAGCGTCGCCCGCTTTTATCGGTTGCATGAATCTCTTCATAAATGCGACGACCGTTGTTTATTGTTGTTGTTGTTGCTGCTGCTGCTGTTGTTGTTGTTGTCCGATCTTCTATGTTAATTTTGAGATCGGATCGCAGACAAATGTCGCCAACGCCAACGCCAACGTCAACGGCAATGCCGCCCGCTCTCGCTTTCTTTCGGGGGTTGATTATAATAATTATATTTTTCCACAGCTTCTTCTTCATTTTATACCTATTCATTTGATAATACTTATTGGCCAAACGCAAAGCTTGTGCTTAGAATCTGTACCTTCCTTTTGTTCAATAACATTTATAGTTATCGTTATGTTATCTCAAGGGGAATCCCCATCGTATGTAAGCATACATTTGTTGCATGTTGATTTAATATATGCATTTACAATTTAAATACATATATTTTGGGAAATTTCTCTGAAATTCCGAATCCCAGAAAATCATATAAATCTATATCGATATACGGAGACTCATATGTATTTATTCATTAAGGAAAATAGGACATTGGTTATAATCAGTTTGTTTTGAAATTTGCTGAGGCTGTCAAATTAATAAATCGTTACGTTTAAATTTCTCATTAGCTCTCTTCTCATAAGTTGTTTATATATATATATATATCTGAGAGTTGCAAATTAATTGAATCAACAGTATTTATCGTTGTTAGCATTTATAGCTGGTTTAAGTATATATGAATATATTTTTTAATCACCTGTTTCATTATCATTATGATAATTTTTACTCGACTTTCTATGTGCACAATCAATGCCCACCCTCCCAGCTGCTATCGAGATCTTTAATCGATCGAGCTCGTTATCGATAACAAATCGATTTCAATTTGCAATTTACGCTGAACGAGATGTGTTAATGAAGCCGCGTTCCAATTGATTTCTGGTTTATTGTTATTGTTTTTTCCATTGTTAATCAGCTTGTGGACTGCTCGCGGTTAAAGTGGGTTGCTGAACGGGGTGGGGGGGGCAGAAGAGTTCGCACCTACAACACATGAAATACACATGAAATTGTCTCAGCTACTCAAATTGATTGATTGTTAATCTCGCCCATCTGTGAGTACTGAAAAGTTCGCAAGCTTTAAAGATTTCCAATTTGTACGCATTGACATGATTTCTGAACGAGCCAAGCACACACACACACACACATTTACACACATCCAATCAGCAGAAGTAGCAGTTGTTATTGCCATTACCCACGCAGTGCTCTGCTCTGATCTACTCTCGCTCTCCAATCAATCGCAGCTCTAATGCCGCTCCTTTCACTTTATATGACCACACACACACTCACACACACACACACACACACACACACACATATGTATGACATGTTGGTGTAGCTTATCAATTGTCAATTGAGGAAGAGCGAAGAGAGTTCAAGTAATTGCAAATAATCAACAGTTGACTGAAGTAACCAATGCGAACAGCTGTCAAGTAGTGAAATTGTCCTTAATACTCATAAATACTCATTGATGTGCTCATATGCGTACACAAGTATATCTACTTAACATTATGAGTATTTACAAGTAATTGCAAATGAGGCAAAGATTCATGTGCTTCGATTGCCGTTCGATCGTTCGAGATAAGATTCACTAAAAGATTCACTTTCTGAATTGACCGAGAATCAACTATATATATTAAAAAAAGTAATATGTGTGCATATATTTTGTATGCCACACTGTGTATGTCTTTTCAAAACAAAATTTTAAAAATATATATGTTTTTGCTTTAGGCAGAAGCTATAAAATTGCGAATCTTGCAAAATTTTCTATCGATTATCGATAGTATCATCGACTAGTCGCTTCATTAGCTTTCATTTACAGCAACAAACCTAACGAAAATACTATCGATAGAAAGGAAATCAGCTCCTATCAACCTGGATTAAACCCGAATGTGCCTTAAACATTGAAGAGAGTTTTCATACTCGCTGTTAATTTTAAAAGGTTTTTCTTATTTTACACTTAAGCAACAATGTTATCGAAATACTATCGATAAAACCGAATTAACAAGATCAAAAACCTTTTACAGATCGCGTTCAATATTTTCTTAGGCGTTTAACGATCTTCAGTGAGTTTCTTGTCAAACTGAAAATGGTTTCCCGTCTACATATATCTAAAGAGTAATATTTTCCATGCAGTTCTCAAGTTTCTCATCAAATTCTGAGCTATTTCCAATTGTAGCATACTTTTGGCATAATCATTTCGTAAATTTTAAGCAGGGTATCTGTTATTCCATTTAAAATCACAGCTACTTGTCCAAATAACACAATATTCGATATAAAATATTTGATAGTAAATAAGAGTATAAGGATTTTTGAGAGTCCATAGCTAGAAGCTTGAAGATAAGCTATATTTTTTTCTAATCCTTTAGTCGAATATGTCTCGAGCGCCGTTCACAAAATACTCTCTGAAAGAAAAGACTTGTTGAACTTATGCATAACTTTTGGACATATTTTAGTTTTTTTGTTTTTCGTTTTTGAGCGGCTTTTAAATGAAATGGAAAGTGGGGATTAGCTAGAAATATTGAAAGAAAAAATAAAACTAATATGATGCACGTACACATAAACATCATTAACATATGAGAAACAAAGCCAAGACGAAGAAAAAATAAATAAAAAGGCCAAAATATGGGTTAGCTGGCGAGCTGGCGGAATGCAGCTACCAATTTGGGTCTTTGACAGATGCCTTCCAGATAGAATCTATCAGCCAAATGAGCTAAGCGATGAAAGCAAGAGTGTTGCCAGAGTGCTTCAAGTGGAGCGAATGGGCAAGCATGGTAAAAAACAAACCTTGTAATGAGGCTTGAAAAAGCGCTGCACACACAGAGACACAGGCACAGCTCGGACAATGTGCGCTGATGGAGCTGGGAGCGTGGGTGGGGACACGGTTGCGGACACAAGAGACACACACAACTTTCTTCTTCCAATATTTCCGCTGCTTCATTCAGTGTATTGTATTATTATTGTTATTTTAACAGCAATTGTTGTCGTTGTTGTCGTTGTTGTTGTTGCCGCACACCCACATCATTGTAATTATGCTCGTTGTAGTCTAAATCGTCATCGCTTACCCTTGTTAAATACATATTTACACTCACTCACACAACACACACACATACACACACACACACGCACGTAAGCGAGCGTAAGCGAGGGCACGAACCGACGCACAGTGGTTCAAAATGCATTCAAATCCCTGCTCTGGTTTCTACTATAAATGCAGTTGTATTGTATCTACTGTAAAATAACAGTTCTGGTCACTGTTAAATTGCATCTGCCGTGAAACAACATTTCTAGTCACTGTCATCTGCATCTATTAAAATCTCTACTGTAACAATTGTAGGCACTGTTAAATAGCCTCTACTGCACAATAACAGCTGTAGCCGCTGTTAAATTGCATCTGTTCCTTTTTTATGACAAAGTCTTATAACCATGCTTGATTATAATTAATTAATATGATTATAATATTTTGTAAATTTATGCATTTTGTATATATTCATATTTTTTATTATATTTATTGTTTATTTAATTTATTATTATTTATTTATTCATATCAAATTTTTGACAATGTTTTGCCCTGATTTGGCATCACTGTGCGGGCTGGTTGCGTAGCTGTTGCCGTTGTTGTTTCGACTGGTTTTCAGTTGTTGTTTTTGATTTGTTGTTATTTTATTTTTTTTTTGTTTTTCGCCCGCCACTCCAGAGAGAGGGCGGGCGTAAGGGGGAGGTGCTCTGGGGTCTGGCTTGGAGGAGGCGCGTAGAAACTACGCGCGCGCCGCTGTTGCTCATTGTTTGCCGGTGTTGCGGGCTGTTGCTGTTGTTGCTGTTGTTGTATTTGTTATTGTTGCTATTTTGGCGGCATTGACTGTTGCCGTTAGCACACGGCGCACTTGACACACCCAGAGGCGCCCCGGCACTTGGCAGGCGCACTTTCACGAATGCCGCAGCAACTGTTCGACTAATTCGCAAAAATTGAACAAAATAAAAATAAATAAAAAAAATTAAAAAAAAAAAAAATTGTCATTTCGCAGATGGAGGAGCTAACCGAAGCGGAGGACTGTGCCGCGGCAGTGTTGGCCGCCGGCTCGCGGCGCAGCTCCGGGCAGGGCAATCCCGTCCAGCCGGTCCAGCCGGCCAATCGCGGCGGGCAGCAGAAGCCCATCGCTCCGATGGCCAGCTACAGCGAGAAGGCGGTGGGCAGCTCGCCCAAGCATCTGGTCAGCACATTGAGCTCGCCCATTGAGCAGATCGCGTGCAGCGTGTCGCGGGAGCATGCGCTCAAGAACGAGATCGATCAGCTGCAGGAGCAGCTGAAGGATACCGAGGAGCGCCTGGCCTCGGTCCGGCTGCAGAGCGAATCGCTCTCGCAGACACAGCGCGCGCTGCGCGAGCACAACGGCCGGCTGCAGGAGGAGTCCGAAATGCTCAAGCTGGACGTGCAGCACCTGCACGAATGCGCCGGCGTTTTGCGCAGCGAACTGCAGTCGGCGCGCCGGGATCGCGACGAGGCCATCCAGCTGGAGCGTTCACTGCGCGCCGAACTAGAGGAGGCGCAACAGGATCGCCGGCACGCAGCCGATGGCAAGGAGAAGGACGCACGCATCATACAGGATCTGCAGCGGCAGTGCCGCGAAATGGAGCGCATACTCATGCGCAAGCATCCCGACTCCGTCTCGGCGCTGATAGGTAAGTCCACAACAGGGCCAATCACCGCCAGCTACTCTATGTGTGTGAATTATTTTGCTGCAGTTGCCTCGAAGAGCACGGGCATCTGCTCGCTGAACGACCAGGAGAACGTGAACAGCCGCAAGCTGCTGGAGCAGCGAATTGCCCAGCTGGAATCGGATGCCAAAGAGCAGGATCGCAAGGCACAGCAGATACTGGCCAATGTGCAGGCGCGCTTCAATTCTGTGCAGGCCAAATACGAGACGCACATTGCCGACCTGGAGACGCAGGTGCTCAGGTGAGTTACTGTCTCTGTCTCTCCGCCACACACTTACCCAAACCCTCCGCCCTACAGCCTGCAGGAGATCAACACAAAGCTGAACGAACAAATTGAATCCCAGGTGCGCACCCTGGATCGCTTCATGCAGAAGCGCGCCGACAGATACTACAACAACTGCACCCAAACGGACGCAGTCGGCGCCCAGACGGATCCAAAGCCTCTCGGCCACAACAAGGCCATCCACACGGGCACCCAGACGCAGGCGAGCGGTGCCATGCGGGATCACAGCACCAACACCATTGGTTGCCCCTCGCCCAGCATCAGCTGCCAGCAGCATCTGCAACAGCAGCTCCAGCAGCAGCAGCAGCAGCAGCAGCAACTGCACTCGGCCGGGAGCAGCAGCACCAGCAGCACAGCCAACTCGACGCCGAACACGTCGCGTCCCAATTCAAAACAGAGCGGCGCACAGCGACGCAATCCGGCGATTGCCAACTCCAAGCTGCCCATTTCCCAGTCCGAGTCCACATTGTCGCTGCTCAGCCATGGCCATGGCCATTTGCAGCCAGCCGGCCACAAGGAGGACACACAGCTGCTCAGCTCGGTGCGCAGCATGCGCATCGACTTGGCGCTCAAGAACAAGGCCATGCAGCGCCTGACACGTGAGCTGGACGATTGCAAGAAGACCATCAGGAAGCTGCAGCGGGAACGGGAACGGGAACGGGAGCATGCGGGAGCAGCTGCTGCTGTTGCTAGTCCAGGTAAAGCTGCCTGGCTGTATGCACAGCGAGAGACGTGTGTCTGTGTGTGTGTGTCTGTGTGTGTGTGTGTCACTCGGTCGTCGTCATTGTTGTTGTTGTTGTTGTTGTTGTTGTTTTGTAATTTATGGACTTTCTCTGCTCGTCAGCACGTACAAGACTTTAACTCGAGAGACACGCAAATAAATTGCTGGAATAAATCATTGCATGCCTGTCCAGCGTTGGCAGCCACACTCCCCACACACCCCACCCCCCTGCCCACCTGCCCACCTGGCGGCCTTTTGACCGCAACAGCTTTTTGTATTTGTTTTTTTTGTTTTTTTTTTGCACTCATTTCAAATGGGCAACCTCCAAGCTACACGCTCCACGCTCCACGCTGCAAGCTCGCTAGCCACAAAAACTAAACACGTTAACAACTTGCCTAGCTGCCTCCCTGCCCCCTTCCATACTCTCAGGCCGCTGGCCAGTTGGTTATGTCACCTGCATGTGCGGGGCGCGGATGGGGGAGGGCAACTCGTTTTTTATTTACATTTCATCGATTTGAATTTTTTTGCTTAGTTTAGTTTTATTTTGTGAAGAGAAAGAGAAAAAGAAAATTCGAAAGCGAAAGTCAAAGTCAAAGACGTTGTCTGCGTGGCGGGCCGGTTCAAGTGGCGAGACAGGGCCAGGTGGCAGGGGGCAGGGGGCGTGGCTAGCGCGTTGTCGTTTGCGCGTGCGCGCAGCGTTTTATAATTTCATGTCTTGTTAGTTGCTGCTGCTGCTGCTGCTTCTTTAATGTTGTTACATTTGCTGCTTGTTTATTTATTTTTCAACAGTGCTAATAATAGCCCAGCAACAACAACAACAACAACAACAACAACAGCAACAACAACAACAACAACAGCAACAACTTTATTTTAATTTTCAACGCGTGTTCAAATTTAAATTTTGTTGGTTATGCAATCAGCCTCAGACTCTTATTTAATTATTAATGTTGTTATCGTTGTTGTTGCTGTTGTTTCTTTAAAGTTATTTATTTTGTTGAAATTTTCGCTTTGAAATACATTTTTGGGGCAGTGCATTGAACCCGCAGCTCCGTCTACAAGATAGTTTTTCAACAAGCATTTATGCAATTCAATTTACATTTATTTTCAATATTTTTTTTATCCCCTTGCAGGTTCGCGTCTGGAGAACAAACTTCATGGCGGCGCTGGCGGCGGCGGCGGCGGCATGTCGGCCAGCGGAGGTGCCGCCCAGCGACGTGGACATGATCATCATTATCATCAGCATTATCCGGATCATGTGCCAGCGACCACGGAGAATCAGGCGCTGAAAGAGGCACAGAACAAGTTTCATCTGCTGGAGGCGGACTACAAAACGCTGCACGATAAGCGGCTGCAGGATGTGAGTGCCACTTGTTGCAGATGCAAAGGGAGCGACGCTCAACTCTATCCCTCTCTCTGTTTGTCTTTCTCCATAGCTAAAGACCCTGCAGAGCGCACATGAGCGTGAGTTGGCCTCCTGCAATGAGACGGTGCGCATATTGCAGCAGCGTTTGAATGAGCGCGAGGAGGCGTTTGCCACACAGAAGCGCCGCAAGGTGCCCGTCGACTACTATGCGCTGAAGGCCAAGGTGGTGGACAGCAGTGCCCTAGTCGATAGTCTTGAACTGATGTATTGTTGTCATTTCAGGTCTCGCTGCTTGAGCGGCGCCATTCAGAGCGGGAGGAGCGGCTGCATATGCTCGTGGAGGCGCTCAGCAAAGGTCGACTCAATGGGGCTCTCGAGGATCTGTTGCAGGAGAACAACAACAAGTAGATTATTGGGCATAGTTGTAGTTGTTTGGCACAAGGATATTGTGACTGAACAGAAAGCGAAAACTCGCAATTTAACGAGTTATCGATATCGTTGCGTTATCGTTATCGGCTCGTTATCGTGCATGCAGAAAGCGAATCAATTGTCTGATTCGAAATGAAAAAGAAAAACAAGCAAATCAAAATTCACAAAGTATTCGTGTTGTTATGCTTTCAACAAATTACATTTATGTTAAATAATAATTAATTTTTATTTACATTGATTAAGATTTATCGATAAGTCGATAACAGTTGCAACACATGCGCAATTCCAGCCAAATTGTATGTTTATTTATATGTTTTTTTTTAGATCTTTAATAGATTCTCGAATAGATCTGAGCGTAGCATAAAGTTAAGATATAAACTAAATAGATCTCACTACAAAAGTCAAGTTGGTATAAAAGAGAACTTGTTAGCCACAGCAGCTCCATCTTAATTGGGAGAGTTACCTATAAATATATGTAGCTATTTATATATATATATGCTAATATTTGGCATTATTCGAATGAATTATAGTTAGGTTTTTGCAGAATTGAGTACACATTCAGTCAATTTCGGCATAGTTTCCAGTTTTTACCAAAACAGTTTGTATATATTATATTGAATGTGTTTGCAAATTGTTGCGTCGGGCATACAATTTTGAGATTTTAAGTACAGTACGTGAAAGCCCTCCGCTCACTGCCGCACGTGCAGCAAAGGTCAACTTTTAAACATGAGGTTACAACAAATAATTACAATAAAACTAAAGGTTATGCTAGTTCTTAAACAAATGTAGGGCATAATTTAAAAAACATAAGTGTTTAAATTACAAATTTGACAAGTTACAAAAAACAAATGAATTCCGAGTTTACACGATTGTGAAAGAGACAGGAAACAGGGCAAAAAATGAGACAAAACGCGAACGAGCGAGCGAGCTATACGCATAGATTGTGTATGTCGACACGAGTTGAGAATTATAAACTACAAATATATTATACACAATTTTGGATTACTAACAAGTTAAACGAGAGGGGCGGGGAGGGTTTTCCAAATTCTGCCAGTGAAAGTTGTTGCCGTCAGAAATGCTGCAAAGCAATTGATATTATATGGTCCATCCAGAAATATCGAGTATTTAACTTAAGAGCCATATGTTGTCTTGAGCAAAGCAAATGAACAAAATCTTTTCAATTATAATTAAAAGTATTATGTATTTAGCAGTTGGTATCATTTGTAAACCTAATTCTAGCATATACTATGAGTATAGAACATATAGGAGTCCCAATTAAACTATTACCTAAAATATATGTCCGTAACAAATCTGGAGTCCAGCAATTTAATGTGTTGCCACCCATTGAAAGGTTATTCCAATACTCTATAATAATATAGCATACCCATCTGTATTTCATCTAGTGAATTTAAGAGTTCTTTCGCACAGTCTGGCTTAGTGCTCAGTACAGTACTCAGTACAGGGTGTGGTCATAGTCGTGCAGTGGCCGACTATAGTGTTTCTTCCTAGTCTTAAATGTGTGTGTGCGAGTACTAAGTATGCTTTGCTACATCATTCTAATTGTAAACACTTTGAAAAAGTTATTTAAACAAAACATTCCAAAATCCTAGCCGAACCAAAACATGCATGTTTAAACTTCAAGTCAAATGTCAAATTGCGAAATGTTGTACAACAAAAATTGAATTATAAATTTGAAAATACAAGAAGTTACAAATAAAAAGATTATTATCTAAGTGTATACAAAATAATAGATATGAAACTCTTTTTATTTAATCTCGTCTCGTGTTATCTGGGGGCTGGCGTCATCAAGTGCCTGGTAAAGTTAGCAGCCACTTTAACATGCGGCATATATGTACATACAATACATGTGAGGATATTTGAATGCTAGCGTTGCCACCCTATCGCAATTTCAGAGAATCTTTCAAATCTAATAATAAAAACAAAATAAATAAACTGTTGAACAACTTTGGTTTATTTTTAGGAAAAATTTGCAGTTGGAAAACGGTTTGAGAAAGCGAAATTATATTTGCTTGAGATAAAATTATGTATATGGAAAGTACCACACTCTTCTTCCTGCATGTGATTCCAGCTCTAGTCGAGAACAGCAGGATCGGCCCACATATATGCAGGACTGATGAAAAATCTAGGTATGTATGTATCTAATTCGCATCGATTATCTATATATATAATATGGATAATTGGGTTTTTGAATAAAATATATATGTAGCTGGTAAAGTCTGGTAAAGCATAACATGATAGTATATAGCTGTGATGGGAAACGACATCAAGCGTAGGCCCCTTAACAGATTTGAGGGGTTCCATTTTGTGGCAGATGGAGAACAGGTTTACCCGTTCGTCAGCTGTCAGTCCATGGGAGTGAGTGGGCCTTGGCCGTGCGAGAAACAGTTCAACAGCACGTTTCGTTCAGTTTCGATCACACACCTAGGAGTTAGTTCGGATGATTCGAGAGTAAGAGCTTCCAAAAAAAAAAAAAAAAAAAAAAACACACAAAAAATAGGTATAAGAAAACACAATACGGAAGGAATTGATAAACCAGACAGCAAACCGTAAACTCAAACTTCTCGTTTCGATTGGCTGTCAGCGTTGAGCGGAGGCCATGGCTGAGAATATGCGCAGAGGCAGACGCCGCCGCATCGAGCCGTCGCGCATACAGTACGGCGCCTGGGATGATCCGCGCGTGTCGTTGTTCGCGACCGTGCCGCAGGAGCCGGTGGGTGATATGTTGGGGCGCCTAAAGCGCCTGCCGCCAGGCAATCGGGATCGGGCCAAGGAGGTTGATGCCTGCCCGTTGGTATTGGCCGCGTCTACATCAACGAATCGGCTCTACCGGGAGGTTAAATACCAGGTGCAGCAGATAGCCGATGATCGCAACAAGAACTATCATCCGATACAGGAACGGGAGCGCCAGTCGGCGCTCATCGCACGCATGATGGCCGAGCACAATAGGCGGGAGTGCGCGGAGGCGATGCGTCGCAAGCAGCTGCACGATAACTCGCAGAGGCTGCGCGATCTTAAGATTGAAATCGATCGGGCCAAGACGACGCTGAGCGTGGTGAAGAAGCGCAACGAAAACATACGCCAGCACGGCGCCGAGCGGGCCGATGAGCGCAAGGAGGCGCTCGAGCACAGGGAGCAGGTGCGCGAAGAGAAGCTGGCTGAGCAGCGGGCGCTGCAGGAGAAGGCGCACAACTACAGCGAACAGCTGGTCGCCCAGATACGCAAACTGCAGGCGGAACGGGCGCAACAGCAGCTGACCGACCTGGAGGAGGGCCGTCAGAAGCGTCACAACGACGAGATGGCGCATGCCAACGATCTGCAGCAGGCGGTCGAGGAGCGTCACAAAAAGCGAATTGAGCTCAAGCAGATGCTGGACGAGTTCTCGGCGCTGCAGCGCAGCATACGGGAGGCGAATCCCGACAAGCCGGACAAGCTGGACGTGATTGTGATGGAGGCACTGGGCCCCGTAACCGGCAGCTTTATCAAAAAGGAGCTGCAGCGTCGCTTGGACGATATTGAGCGCCGTCGCCTGATCAGTGACGGGCTTGGGCAGGAGCTGAGCGAGATTCGTGGCAAAAAGGATGCGCGCGACAATATGCTGGCCGACATTTTGATATGCGAGCGGCAGGCGCGCGAAAAGAAGCGCGCCCATCAGGACATACAGAAGCGTCACAACCAGAAGCTACAGGTGGCCAAGGATCTGATCAATCAGCGCAAGGAGCAGCAATTCTATCGCGAAAAAGACGAGGCACTCGCCAAGACAATCAAAACGGACGCGACTAGCTTCATGCAGCGCCAATACCAACAGGCCAGCGAAAAGGAGGCCGCCAGCCATGCCATCAGCGCGAAGACCTACGACGGCATCGCTGCCGACATTGTGAACAATGCGCGCGTCCGTGCCGCTGCCGTTGAGGAGGAGCGCATGATCAAGCAGGCCCTCCACGACATGGAACTGGACATGGAGCGTCGCATCGATGAGGAGCGCATGCGTGTCCTTCACGCGCAGACCCGTGACATCATCGACGAGGTGCGACCCTGCAAGCTCAACCACGTGGAGCGCCTCACCTTCAATTTGCCCGCATGCGGCATAAACAGTGAGGATACCCACACCCACTAAACGGTCTAACTAACTAACCAACTAACTAAACTGGACTAGGCTAGGTAGCTTATCAATTGGTTCAACTGGTTCCGTGTATACACTAACTATTCCACACAGAACTATAAATTATTCAGGCAGTTATTGCTGGCTCCCAACCCTCATTAAATACATAAATATATATTTGTTGTACGTGCAATTAACTTTTGTTTCTCACTCGCCTAGTCGGGCACTAATAATTAGAGCAGGCCTCAAATTTAAATTTGTGCTAAAAATATTGTGGCATACTTTTAGGCTCCGGCAGAACTTTTTTACTGGATATTTGGTTATATATCATTGGCTAAGTCAATATCGCATGAATTCAAAAAGGTATAACATTTCAAAATCAGACAATATTTACCCGAGATATTCAAAAAAAATCATCGAAAAAGTTTCGATTTTTGCAAAAAAACGTGGTGATTTGGAAGGTCATATCTCCGCGGGGAGTTATGTCGTTTTGGAACGTCATATCTCCGCGCGGAGTTATGTCGTTTTGGAACGTCATATCTCCGCGCGGAGTTATGTCGTTTTGGAACGTCATATCTCCGCGCGGAGTTATGTCGTTTTGGAACGTCATATCTCCGCGCGGAGTTATGTCGTTTTGGAACGTCATATCTCCGCGCGGAGTTATGTCGTTTTGGAACGTCATATCTCCGCATGGAGTTATGTCGTTTTGGAACGTCATATCTCCGCATGGAGTTATGTCGTTTTGGAACGTCATATCTCCGCATGGAGTTATGTCGTTTTGGAACGTCATATCTCCGCGGGGAGTTATGTCGTTTTGGAACGTCATATCTCCGCGGGAAGTTATGTCGTTTTGGAACGTCATATCTCCGCATGGAGTTATGTCGTTTTGGAACGTCATATCTCCGCGCGGAGTTATGTCGTTTTGAAACGTCATATCTCCGCGCGGAGTTATGTCGTTTTGGAACGTCATATCTCCGCATGGAGCAATGTCGTTTTGGAACGTCATATCTCCGCGCGGAGTTATGTCGTTTTGGAACGTCATATCTCCGCGCGGAGTTATGTCGTTTTGGAACGTCATATCTCCGCATGGAGCAATGTCGTTTTGGAACGTCATATCTCCGCGCGGAGTTATGTCGTTTTGGAACGTCATATCTCCGCGCGGAGTTATGTCGTTTTGGAACGTCATATCTTCGCATGGAGTTATGTCGTTTTGGAACGTCATATCTCCGCGCGGAGTTATGTCGTTTTGAAACGTCATATCTCCGCGCGGAGTTATGTCGTTTTG